TATATATGTTGTTGTTTTGTTGAGTGTTCTCCTTTTGAAACCTCTAAAGCTACAAGCCATCAAGAGAACAGGAAAGGACAATAGCGTTTTAGCCTGCTTACATGTTGTATTTTTAAAGGCATCTGGTTTCAAAAGCCTTTATTTAAGTTATTATGGTCCGTAATATTATGATTTTGCATTTTTGTCAGGTGTACAGTGGATCTGTGACATGTTATTTCGATGTTTGGATATACTATAGGATTGTGCCAGTCACCCTTGGATCCACGTTTTTATGAGATTTTATTTGAGGCATTAGTAATCAATGGTCATATGCCTTCTGCACTTCCTTCTCCCCTCTCTGCTTAAGTTTACTGCTGCTGAATCATTTGGAACAAGCTGGAGAACACTTTTTCCTGTACATTCCATTCATGTTAACGCTATGAAAATATCTGTGTACGTCAAACATTTTATCCAGTCACGTTGTAAGTGGTCGCTCTGCTGTTCGGTTATGGTAATACAACTTGATAATCTACTTTGTCTTTCCTTTCTTTTCGATGGATCACAGCAGCATTGGAGGGGAATTTGACATCACAAAGAAACTTACAATAAGCACAATCAAACATAAAGTGCTACTGCAATGGTTTCTATCTGCTTTTTAATTATCGGACAATGTATAGGGTTTAGGGTCAGGGCGGGGTTTTTTCAATTAACGAGGAGCCATTCCACTATTTTTTAGCCATGATGGCAAACAAGCCATACGATAGGAAAGGATAATATTTTATTGTCAGACCAAGGTTGACATTTTTCTTGCATCTCAGCAGCTCTGCTTGCCAATAGAACACAGACAAACAGCAAGACGAGATTCACTGAAGAGAAGATGATCAAGACCCTCTAACATACATTTCATCTGGGATTTATCCCCTGAAATAATATATGGAGGATTGAGTGACGCACAAAGGAGTACTTCAGTCCAACCTATTAAATTGTGAGATCTCCGATATGATGGTAAGAATACATATTCCCTGCTGAACATGGTTGGGGTCAGAGATCATGTTGTTGACGGATACATGGGCCCAACTCGCAGTGAAGGAATAACAACCAAATTGACCAATTCATAAAAATGCACATGTTGGAGTGTATGGTTTAACAATGTCCTGGGTGTGAATGACTAGATCAAATCACAGCATGGGAGGCCAGTGCCAGTTTCTTAAAGGGATGATGTGGAAAAGGGTAAAGAGGGAGAGGAGAGGATGATGCAGAGCTTGCGTGGGTGCAGTCTAGATAGTGCGAGGTTCCGGTTTGTTGAGAGAGAACAGTGTAGGTTTGCTCTTCACAGTGTGAAGGAGTTTGGCTGGAGGACTTCAGAAGAGCAATGACAATGCCACTTTTAAAACCAGACTCGCAGAACAATGGCTTAAAGGCTTTACTTGACTCATCCACACCAACAACCTGGTCATACAAATATTAAATCGGAAGAAAATCTTAGAATATTCTTCATGTTCCAACAAACAATGTTGTCGGTACCAAAATGTGTCACAGCAAGTGGATCAGGGTGGACCCAAATGCAGGGAACAGGAACTTTTAGCCTTCATTTCAGCCTTTTCCCAGCGGCAGAACACAGCACTTTCAGATAACCAACAAACAAGAACCTAACAAAAACCAGGACTTAAACACAAGCAGAACTGAGGAAGAGATGAAGTGCAGGTGTTCAAGAGGTCAGGTCATTGCAGGGCTGATGGGGAACAGGTGAAACTAAAAAGGCCAGGACTGACAATCACAAAAGGCAGGAAAACAGACAAAGACAGGAAGTAAAAACAGATATGACAAAAATGTAACCAAAAGCCACTCATAATTGGGCTTTTTGTCAATGTTAGACGTTCGATAACTTTTTTCCCCCCTCATAAACTTTCATAACATAAAGCGTGTTCTCCCAGACAGTGTTTTCGTACGGTGATTATGCCACCCTTTCTCGCGCCGCGGGGGCAGCGATTGCTCTTTAATCAACCCGTCTGCAGGAATCATGGCGCCCGGAGTCCCCCCATCGTCTCGGCTGCATGCTGTTTACCGGCACACTGTGAGCCAGACAACACAAGCTGGGAACCACGCAAACACAACAATCATGTCGGCTAGGCTAACATACACAAATATAACGTGTTCACTGAGCATCAGGATGGCTGTGAAGGAAGGTATGTGTGTGGGTGAGAGCATGCTTAGAGCAATTTGAGCGTGCATGCATCTTTTCCCAATGCAATGGATGTGTGTGTGTGTGTGTGTGTGTGTGTGTGTGTGTGTGTGTGTGTGTGTGTGTGTGTGTGTGTGTG